GCTCTCTTGGCTCCGAGAAAGTCACGCGACAACATGCGGGAAAACCCAGGAGTCACGCGACACGCCCAGCACTCAGAATTGAGAGCGGAGAACGCCAAGGGACCTGAGGACATTCCAACTCGTGCTTCAGGGCACAGTGACGGATCACTGAATCGTATAGTCGTACATTGTTACTAATACGACTGCGAGTATGGATTTAGTAGTTAGCATTATTAAGAACAGTGATAGGAATATTGAGACGATACGACGCGGTGCCACGACAGGCATTCGGAGCCAATGGGAGGAGACGGAAACCAATTGCAGACAATGTCGACTTTGGAAGAAGACCCCCATGATAAAGGTGACAGCCAGGGGTGTTCCGAAAGGTGTGGACTTAGACGCCCCGAAGAGTTTCCTGGAAGCTCCGTGAGGTTCTTACTCAGCGCATGGCGAAGAGCACAGTTTGGCCAAGCTATTTCCCTATGTGTTCTTGCAGCCGCTGGGGGAGGGAAGAGGGGGAGGAGGACGACGAGGAGAAGGAGACCTCCTGTCAGCCTTCTCGGGGCTCTGGGAACCTCAGGATTCATGGCGGCCTCTTGCCGCCATCCGGGACCGTTTTTGCGAGGTCATACGGGGTCGCCTTGGCCGTTTTTGAGGGCACTTTGGACCGTTTCGACGGCAATACAGCGACATCTTGACCATCTGGGAGGTGAGCCTGGTCGTCTCTTGAAGCATTCAGCGGGGGCCTCTGGGGGCTCGCTTTGGGCGTTCGGGGGACATCAGGCCCCTCTTGGATTATTGAAGACGCCTACGGCGAATCATCGCCGCCCCCTTCCTTTTTTTAAAAAGCGCATATGTGACCAAAAGTTTGGGTTCAGAGTTTGGATAAGTTATCGGACCAGGTGTTCCCCGAGCCGCAGTGGAAACCTTTCGTGGAACACTTGGAGGAACATAAGGCGGATGATCAGGAGAGGGATGGGGAGGAGGAGGAGGAGGAGGAGGAGGAGGAGGAGGAATAGGAAAGGGAGAAGCAGGCCTCCAGGAAGCCTCTTGAGCCACCTCTTACTGCAACTAGTCGTCGCATCACTCCCACGCGCCGTACACGCGCACCTTCCAGGACGCGCCATGGCACGCACCCGCTGGGACGGGTAGTACGCGCACCCTCTGGGACGCGTTTCGCACGCACCTTTAGAGACGTGTTCTGGCATGCACCCCTGGGACATGTGTAGCAGTAGCACTAAAATATGAGTTGTGGGTTCCTTTGTGGCTTGGGGGGGGGGCATCCTTGGCCGTCGTAGAGCGTTTCTGGCCCGTCTGACGTCGTCGGAATCCGTCCACGGGGTCTCTGAACCGACTTGGGGCCCTCTTGGGGCGTTTCAGGGCCGTCTTGGGGCGTTTCAGGGGTGCAGCCTTAGGGTGTTCTTGCCCGTCTCATGCCGCCGGAGGGAGTCCCGAGGGTCTCTCAGAATTGACATGTTGCCGAGTATTTGGAAGAGCCGTTGACCAGTTGTTCCCAGAGTCGCCGTGGAAATCATTCGGGGAACATGTGGGCGAGGCAAGGGAACATGATTAGACTGGTAAGATTGCGAAGAACAGCCAAACAAAGAAAAGTGCCTGAGAGGTGCCGGAGAGCCGGAGAGGTGCCCTTGTCTCCAGGCTGGGCCTCGCGAGGGCGCGAGGATGGCCGCGCCTCGCGGGGCGCGATGCGCGAGGCTAGGTGGCCATGGCCCTTCCTCAACCAAAAAAAGCAAACGACACCACCCCAACCGCGGTCCTCCATGTTGCGATACGGCCCATCGGTGGCCGTAGCATATGCCACGCAAAAGCCCGCGCCAAATCTCTTGGTATACGCCAAGGCCCGTGGGACCGTAGGGTGGGGGGGTGTCGTTTGTTTTCTGGTCCACTCCCTCCTCGTCCCGCGGGGGGCCAGGAGCGCGAGGCCTTCGAGGCCAACCGGGCCCTCGGGCGGAGGCGCGCCTTGAGTGGCGAGCCAGCTCCCGACGCCCGCTCGGCGACGGAGAAGACCCCAAGAGCACGCCGAGCAGAGCTGGTGTCGAGCGGGCCGCTGGCGGAG